CCTGTCTGGGGGACTGGGAGCAACGGGGCAGAGCGTGGGGGAGGTGGGCAGGGGTCCCGCACCGGGGCAGGCCGTGGTGCTGCTCACGGCACCCGCTCCTGCTTTGCCCAGACATGTGGCACCCTGGCTACTACCTGGAGGAGACCCGGGAGCCGCCCGTGGTCCCTGCGCCTGCGTCCTGCACCCTCACCGTCAAGGACCTGCTGCTCTCGGGCAGCTCTGATCCTGTGAGTGCCTGTGTCCCCATCCCTGCCCTTCCCTGAGCTGTGGTCCCATTGGCATCCCCGTTCTTAACCCCTGCTCAAGCCTGATCCCATCTTCATCCCTGAACCACGGTCTCATCCCTGTCCCTATCTCTGCCCCTTCCCTAGCCGTGGTCCCATCCATATCTCCATCCTTGTCCCCTCCTGGACCATGGTCCCATCCCAACCTCAGCTTCGCTGCTGCCCCTGGGGCCTTGGTGGCCCTTGTGGTCCCCTAGGGTGGGGTGACCTGCAGCCTAGGGCCATCACCAATCTGTGGCCCTGCAGCAACTGCCAGTGCCCAGCTCCTTGCAGCGGCAGAGCCAGGGGCAGTGCCAGGAGCTGGTGCTGACGGAGGATGAGAAGAAACTGCTGGCGAAGGAGGGGGTGTCCCTGCCCAAGCAGCTGCCCCTCACCAAGGTGGGTTTCGCGTTGGCCAAGCACAGGGTGCTGGCACTGTGGCCACTGGGTTCCTCTGCAGCCCTGGGGCCAGCAGGGTGCCCCTTGGCCATCCCGCCCCCCGTCTTCCCCAGTACGAGGAGCGGGTGCTGAAGAAGATCCGGAGGAAGATCCGGAACAAGCAGTCAGCTCAGGAGAGCCGCAAGAAGAAGAAGGAGTATATCGACGGGCTGGAGAGCCGGTGAGGCCCCCAGGACCCCTGAATGCAGCCTGCTCTTGGGCTGGCTGCACCCCAGTCTCTCATTCTTACACCTCCATCCTGTCCCAGGCACCCAGGTGCACCCAGCTGGCAGCAGCGGCCCTGGGCTGGGTGGCACTGGGCTCAGGGCCACCCCCTCCTTATTGCATCCCCTCTCCCTGCCCTCCAGGATGTCGGCATGCACGGCCCAGAACCAGGAGCTGCAAAGGAAGGTCCTGCACCTGGAGAAGCAGAACTCGTAGGTGCCCAAGGGGTACAAGAGGGGCATGACAGGGACACGGGGACCAAGGGTGAAGCCTGAGGGGGGGAGAGGTGACACCCCCTCCTGGGCAAGCCCTGCTCAGGGCTCAGGAGGCGCTCAGAGGAGGGTCCAAACCTCAGGGTACTGACGGAGTCTCTGTGTCCCCAGGTCCCTCCTGGAGCAACTGAAGAAGCTCCAGGCCCTTGTGGTGCAGTCGACCAACAAGGCAGCACAGACGGGCACCTGCATCGCGGTGCGTCAGCCCCTCGCGCTGGAGCCAAATCCTCCAACCCCGACCTCCCCGGCCTCCCTTGGGTTGCAAGTCCCCCTTGTGGCCACACGGGTTGGAGGGAGGGAAGGAGGGGTAGAGGATGAGGGACTGGATGAAGATGTGTGGGCAGCAGCGTGCAAGGAGGGAGGGAAGAGTAGATAAAGGCGTGCAAGGAGGGGTGAACGGACGAAAGGATGAAGATGTGGTAGGAAGGAGGGATAGCTGCTCCGAGGATGAATGGATGGATGGGATAGAGGGTGTGATAGGACGGGGAACAGAGGCACATAAGCATGGATGGATGGAAGCTGGATTGAGATGGAGCGGATGAGGCTGGAGGGAGGGAGGACAGTGTGCTGGCAGGGACACGTGGGCAGGGACAGGTGGCAGGATATACGTCCCAGAGTCCAGTTCTTCTCCACCGAGTGACATCCCGCTCTCTCCCCAGGTCCTGCTGCTCTCCTTCGCGCTCATTGTCTTCCCCTCCGTCAGCCCCTTTGCCTCCATTAAGGCTGAGCCGAACGGTGACTTTGGGCCAGTGCGAGGTGAGGAAGGCCAGAAGAGGATGGTGTGTGTGAGGGAGTGGTGCTGGAGCAGGCCCTGACCCTCCTTTGCACACAGTTTTCTCCAGGTCTCTGCACAACGCAGCAGCCTCGCGCGTGGCCTACGTGCACCCCCGTCCCGGAGACGAGAAGCCCCCAGAGCCGCTGTGGCCGGAGCACCCAGGGGAAGCCCCCGAGACCCCGCACGAAGCATTT